TTGAAGGCACAAGTAAGCCAGCAAATGCTTTGCTCGTTTCGCCTAATGCTTTGAGCTTTCAGAACGAATTTTATCGATTTCATCAGGATTGCAACTTTTCAAGCTTTTCACAGCCTGTGTGATTTTATCTGCTGATGCACTAACATGCCTTCTCCGTTCCCTGCGATTGCTCCGGATTAAGGAGTCCCTGAAAGTGCTTTTTCCATCGTTGAAAAATGTCTTCGTCTCCCATAAGAGGGCGTTCAGACTTATCCTCCAGAAGTCTTAGACTTCCATTCTTTCCACGTTGAGGCAGCGGATTTCTGCCAGAATTCCTTGTTTGCCGTCTGCATATTTATCCAACAAACAGCTTTGAAACGCTGCATTCTTCCCGTAGATACCCACACAACCAGTTGAATCTGTCATGTCCAATGGACAATACGTTTTTGACCTCTGGACAGTTGGTCAACCCGTTTTAAACCGCTGCATTCGGCGGCATCGCCAAGTAAACCGTTCTTAAATAGCTTTCACAGATTTTCTTCATCAGCAGTGGCATTTGTTGAAACCGTCGCGCGATCCTGTTTGCAAGTTTTGCCCTCATATCCGCAGAAGATGAAGTTTCCCGTTTGATTTTCTGAGTGCTTCTGCCATCGGATCTTCGGATGGTACTCGGTCGTATTCAGCGAAGGTTGTCAACAGCAAGGTGATGATCGGTTGGCGGATCTGCGTCTCTCTTATCGCAAACATCCATTACATGGCGTCGTAAGTCAGAGGATTCGATTACCAACTTGACTCGTGAGGTTTAGCTGTTGTATGCTGCGCCGATCGTTTGGCAAAATCTAACCAATGCCCTTATTGCGCCTGTAGTGCAGCTATCGTGTCTTTGTCTGCGACTGACTTCGATCACAATTCGGTTATTGCTATCACTATATGATCCACTAATCTCTTTAATCCTTTAAAGCGCTGCACTGAGCTTATACTGGTCTTGAAGGTTTCTACTCTATATTCCCTGCTCATCTTATTGTGCGCTCTTTAAAACAGTACATCTTATAGTACTAATCGTTCAGACGGTCAG